CCGGCCATTCCCAGAAAGGCTCCCTCGGGCGATGCATTGTCAGATTCCGTCTTGGCTTGTCTGTGCAGGAGACTAAAAGAGAGAAAAGCTAGTTCAACCTGGCTGCTCACACACTTGCCCACCTTACCCTCCCGCAGACGCGCCGTTTCACTCCAGTGAGATTATACCATGTGTGTTCTGTATCGTGCTCATCAGAACACCTCATTAATGTGTGGTGGTATGCTCTCTGGCATGGTGTCCTTGAGAAGTAATACATCCTCCACTCCTCCAACGGAACTGCTGATGGGAGTACATTTTTGGGAGGACAGTTTGATCACAAAGCAAGCAAGTATAAGAATTTTGAGCTGGGCGGTGATGGCCCATGCCTTTAACATGAGTGTTCAGGAGGCAGAGGCAAGCAGATCTCTGTGAGCATTCTGCAGCCTGGTCTACAGAACGAATTCCAGGACAGCAAGGGCTATGCAGAGAAACCCTGTCTCAAAAAACAAAAACAAAAACAAAAAGAAAGAACAAAAGAAAGAAGAATTTTGAATTAATTAAGCAACTTGTTGGGACAGTACAATGGCTCAGCTGATAAAGACAAGTGATAACCTGAATTTGACCTCTGGAATGAGAGAAGAGACGCATGCACCATGCTATACACACTCTCTCTCCCATATATATAATTCAAACAATTTAAGGAACAATTTAAGAGGCTTATTTCGGCTCACGGTTTGAAGGTATGATCCATCAGGGAGAGGAAGTCATGAGAGCAGACGTAGGAGGCTGCTCACATTGTGTCTGCAGTCAGAAAGCAGCAAGCAAGGAGGTCAGTGCTCAGTGTGCTTTCTCTCTCTCTCTCTCTCTCTCTCTCTCTCTCTCTCTCTCTCTCTCTCCAGTCTCCTCAGACCTAGCTCATGGGATAATGCCACTCACATCCAGAGTGAGTCCTCTGGCCTCATATTCCTCCACAGACATTCCCGGGGAAATGTTCCCACAGTCCTTCTAAGGCCAGTCAAATTGACAGTGAAGACAGACTGCTACAAAGTTCAGCTGTGAAGAAATCATGTGGCCTCACCTCCCAGATTCAAACACCACTGAAGCAAACATGTAGCATTTGGGGGACAGGTCGAGGATTTCTGTTGTTGTTTTGGGATTTTCTGTGTGTTTCTCTGTAGACAGGGCCTCACTCTACATACAGCCCTGGCTGGCCTGTAACTTGCTATGGAGACCAGACAGGCCTCAAACTCGTAGAGATCCGCCTGCCTCTCCTCTGCGTCTGCCTCTGCCTTCTGAGTGCTGTGGCTGGAGATGTATTTCCATGCCTGGCTTGTTTTTGTTTGTTTGTTGTGGCAACGGGGTTGTGGGGTTTTAGTTTTGGTTTTGGTTTTGGGATAGAGTCTCACTATATGACCCTGGCTCGTCTGGATATAGCCCAAGCAGGTTGTGGTAGTTTGAATGAGAAACGTTCCTGGTAGGCTCAGGTATTTGAGCATGTGGTCCCCAGTTGGTAGTGCTGTTGGGGGGGGGGGGGATTGTAGCCTTGCTGGGGGAAGTACATCACCGGGACCGGGGGAGCTCTGACCCTTCATAGCCTTGCCCTACTTCCAGTTCGTTCTCTCTGCCCTATGTTTATGGTTCAAGACTTTCAGCTTCCCAGTCCTGCCAACCTGCCTACGGCTTACTACCTTCCTGCCATGATGGACTTTTATCCCTCTGGAAGCATGACACCAAATAACTCTTTCTTCTTGGGTTACTTTGTAGCAAGGTGCTTTATCACAGCAACAGAAAAGTAATGCTCCTGGAGCTCTTGGTGATTCCCTGCCTCAGCCTCCTGGGAGCTGAAATAGGTCTGTACCACTGTGATGTCTTGGAGCTTAGCTTCTTTTTTTCTTTTCTGTTTGTTTTTGAGACAAGGTCTTACTACATTGCCCTGGCTATCCTAGAACTCACTACATAGACCTGGCTGGCCTCCCACTCACAGAGATCCACCTGCCTCTGCCTCCCAGCAGATTAAATGCATATACAAGGACCACTCATCTTTGAGCTTAACCTTTAATTTAGGGATTATAGGCCCTGTCTAACTATACTTTTCCTCACCTCTAAGCCATACCCTTGGGGAGAATCTATAGGAGGTCAAGGCTAAAAAGCATGGGAAAGGCTGGGATTTGAAATATGAAATGAAATTCAGAGGCTCTCAGAGCTGGAAGAAACTTTCCAAGTTTGGATTCTCTAGTGGCAGAGAATTCCCTCTTTACCGAGGCAGTCCATCAGGCCCTGGCATCCTTCATGTCACCACTAATTTGTTTCAAGGTCTTTTCTGGGCTGGAGGCGGAGCTCAGTTGCTAGAGGCCAGCGTGCACAAGCTGTGGGTTGGATCCTTACCACTGCATAGACCTATGTATGACAGCACATATGTAACTTATGCAATCTCAGCACTTGGGAAGTAGAGGAAACATCAGGAGTTGAAGACCAATATTCTCTACATAGCAGCCTTGAAGCCAGCCCTGGCTATGAGATCCTGTTTAAAAAAAAAAAAAAGTCTTTTCTGTGTCTCCACCTGAAACAGCTAGAGCCCCGTTTTGGTCCTCTTGCAGAGTTAGAGGCAGCCCTGTCTTCTCAGGTCTCTTTAAGCCCATGTCATAACTAAATCTGTCCTCCTGGCTCTGCCTCCCGAGCAGCGGGGACAACGGGTGTGCATACCCGACTTCACAGTGGACTTTCTGGGAATCATGCTGTCGGCTCACGGGCAGAGCCGGCTGAGTGACGCTGCAGAGCTCTTGGGTGGGTGCACAGCTCACACTGCAGCTTTTGCTTCTCTGTCATAAAGCACGGTGCGTGACTAAAGTAGCGTGGTCTCTGGAGGGGGTTTCCGTCGTGGTTCTGTGGGGTTGGCTTTACCTTCCCACTGGGCCCTGTAGGTAGCACTTTATTGCACTCAGCTGGAACCCCGGGGTCTGGAGAGTTCCAAGCCCACGTCAGATGGCTAACTCCTGGACAGAGACTGAGGAAGGAGATATCATGAGCCTTCTCCACCCACTACCTCTCACTTTTGTGCCAGTGACTGCCCGTGTGGCGTTATCTCCCAGCCTGTGGAAGGACACAGGGACATCGATGGTGACTGCTGTGTGGCAAGCCCTCGGGCACCAACTGATTCATCAGCTCCATTCTAAGGAGAAGGAAGGCTACCTTCACAGACATGATTAGCCCCTCAGGCATCAAGAGGGTAAAACTGAACCCAGGCTGACCCTGGCCTCCTCCACTCCTCCAGCTCACACCATTCCCCAGGATGCACTGCCACCCTGCCAAGCATCATGGGCACACAGAGAAGGAGCAGCTAGGACCCTACTATCACAAAGGTAAAACTTCAGAATGTCACAGGTAACTTTGCCCACACTCAAAGCTGGGTATAGTAAAGGCAGAAAGAGGCACAGGCCTGCCCACATCCAGGAAACCCTTCCCTCAGTGACCAGTTGGTATGTGGGGAGTGTTTTATTCTTCTAGTTGATTGGGAGCCAATTAAGATTAACAATGTGGGCCACGTATGGTGGCACATGCCTTTAACACAGCACCTGGGAGGCAGAGGCAGGCAGGATCTTTGTGAGTTCAAGACCAGCCTGACCCAGATAGTGAGCAGCAGGACAGCCAAAGCTATGAAGACAGACCCTACCTCAAAATAATAATAATAATTAAAAAAAAAAAAAACCAACAGTGTGTCTGACTTGTCACCCTATACTTTAAGGACCCCCTGATTGAACTCACACATGATATCATGAGTCTGTTACTACCAGGGGCTGTCCAGCCCCTAGGTGTGTGTATCTGACTGGGAACAGTCAGTGGAAGGCCACCTAGTGTGGACATTGAAGGGAAGCCCTGAGCCATGAAGGGCAAGGACCCAGTGGTGGCCCTCAGCAGGGAGTCTGGCTGGCCACTGGGAGGAGCTCTCTGCAGACCTCAGACCTGAGCTTCCCAAGGCCAAGGCCTCTCACACAGCTCCTCCATATGCATTTCTAACCAGCACTGTGGGAAGCACTGTGGGAAGACTCAGGGCCCACGCCTAGAAGAGCCTGGGATAAACCAGGTGGGCAAATGGGTAAGAGAGTGTGTGCGAGGAGGATCCTAGGAGGATGCGAGCAGGACGTGAGGTAGGGAGTACTGGGCAGATCTTGGGAGTCCTAGACCACCTAGCCCATAGAGTAAGACACTGAAAAGTTTGCTGTCATTCCTTAGGGTGAGAGAGTCCCCAGCAGGACTCTTTCTGGGCAGCTTCACTGTGTGGGCCTGGACCTCCTTCGCACAGGAGTGGCCTCTCGGGGCCTGGATTTCTGGAGAAGAGATTTGCCTTCCCCAGGACCCGTTATGCGCCACCGTTCCCATCATCCGCTGAGCCCCAGAAGCTTCAACTGGTGTCACCCTCTTAGGGGATTCTCAAAACATCTCAGGGCCCCTTGCCCTGGGACTCGGGGCAGCAGGAGAAGAAGGAAATTCTCACACACAGCTCTCTCCCAGGAGTTTGCTCAGTTCCCAGGCTGACAACTGGCAACCCTCAGAAGTCCGTCCCCCACTCCCTTCCTCCTCTCCTCCCGGCCTCCTCCTCCCCCTGCTGCCCTTCTCCAGTTTAATAACTTCCACATGGGCTCTGGCGGCTGGAGCCAAGCCCTCAGCATTGTCTGAAACCTCCAAATTTAGAAGAAATATGAAAATTGTCAACCACTCCTTCCTTAGGGGGTAAAAGCAACATTCGGCACCAGGGGCAGGTCAAGGCGAGGCAGTCACGTGGCTGGAGCCCTGGCCAATGGGGGACCCAGGGAGGACTCAGCACCCGCCTTGCCCCAACACCAGGCTCGCTTCTTCAGCTCATATAAGGTAAAAGGCAGCGAGGCCTCCGTGGCCAGAGAGCCACGGACAAGGGGCTGAGCAGAGGGGGCCCAGTGCCAGTTGCTTAAAAATGCCCTTGTAGCATCGAGAGGTGCCAGAGTCCAGTCATCTTAGTTGCGAAGCAGTGACACCCACAACCATACCCCAAATAGGCTGGGCCTCCACCTCCGAAGAGTCATCCCTGGGCCAGACACGAGCCAAGGTAAGGACCAGCCACAGACCTGGGTCCCTGAGCAGGTCTCTGGGGCTTCTTCCCAGGGGCTCTTGTCCCCTCTGTCTGCTACCTTCTCTGTGCTTTCTGCCTCTCGGGAGCTCAGTTACCCCATCTGTACCAGAGCCGGATCCACTGATCTCTAAGCATTGGCCCAGCCCTGAGCTATGGCCCTATGGGCCTGTTGGCGGCTTTTGTTGAATGAGGAACGGGGGGCTGAGCTGATGTCGTTGGCAGGCCAAGCTCCCACTGTACAGCATCTAGGCAGTTTTTCCTGTCTCTACTTTGACAGGACCCTGCCTTGCTGTACCAGGTGTTCACTCCACAGCTCCGAGAACCTGGCGCTCCTGTTGAGGAAAACTGTTTCCAAATAATGGGTTCAAAAGCCAAAGCTGGGGAAGCGGTCCTGTAAACAAGCTCAGGGCCCTAAGGAGTAGGAGGCAAAGAGCTGGAAGGATGGGGTTCTGGCTGTGTCTAGAAGGGAGGGGGGCTAGGAAGGGACACTGGGGAGGTAGGGGCTGAGCTCCAATCCCAGATCTGCACTCAGGGTCGGATTATGAAGCTCTGGGCGGATAACCATCCCTCCCTGGGCCAGCTTGCCCGTCTAGATGTGTAAGGATGCGACTGGACCAAATGGTCTGGGAACATAGGGTGTGGCCTCTGAGCCATTTGGGGCACATTCGTGGGCTACATTCATCTTTGACCATAGTCTCTAATTCCAAGCAGTTGGTCAAAGCCCTGGGAGCTGTTGGAGGCTGAGCTTGAGGAGATGGAGAGCTTCCCAAGGGTGTCTAGCTGAAGATCTGGTTTCCTCAGGGTGCGGTACTACCTCTGATGGGCACAGGGAGGATGTCTGAAGCAATAAGCCATGAGTGCAGGACCCCAGGGCCTTGAAAGGGAGCCTGTGATGAACACTGTGGGAGCCAGGCAGAGCTCAGATCAGAACATACAGGCAGCAGAGTAGAACACAACCCTTTAGCTTCAGACTGTGCAACATCTATTCCTTCTTGCACCTGGCCACCCTATGGCCACTGTGGATTTCCTGGGAAGTGTCCAATAAATCTCATGGATAGAATATGTACGGAGGCATTCCCTGGAGCCAGACACTAGCTAAATGGCTTGCGTTATTGTAGTACTACTGAGCTTATTCTCAGGTGGGGTCAAATGATTCCAGCATCCCTGATTATAAAGGAGGAAACCACAGCCCACTCAAGGACTCACCAGTAGAAGTTAGGTTAGAGACATGAACCCAGCCTCCATCTGCCTTCATGCTTTTCACATGCCTTCCCCTAGCCCCTAGTGCTATGATGAGGAAACTGTGCGTGTGGAGACTCCAGTCTCAGGACTTGTACCAGGGGTTGATTAAAGCCTCCCAGCTCTGAGGCTACTGCTAACCCTCAGCCATAGCACTGTCCCAGAACAGAGAAGACTGTCACTGGTCCTCCAGCCCCACTGTAGCTTTGTGGCCATCCTCAGCCCTTTCTCCTACCTGGCTAGTTCTAGAGAAAAGCTAATACATACGACTCTGCAAAAGAGAAAGTTCCGGAGCCTTAGCTGCCACAGACTGAAGCAGCTTTGAGGGGCTTTTCAGCCCCAGGGTAGGGCTCCGAGGTCCCCCCATATGCTGGCCCTACCCCTTCTTCCAGTTTTCTATCAGAACTACCCTTGAGGCTCAGGTCCTGGGTAACTCAAAGAACCATGAGAAAGCTGGGCATGGTAGCTCATGCCTTTAATCCCAGCACTCAGGAGTTAGAGGCAGGAGGATCTCAGTGAGTTCAAGGCCAATCAGGTCAGCCAGAGTTACCTCCCAGAAGAAGAGGAGGAGGCATAAGAAATGTTGCCCTCTGTTTTCTGTTCAGTTTTAAACATACCTCCTATACATAGAGGCCAGAGTTTCTCCAGTTCATACCTGGAGTGGGGCTGCTGGGCTGGCCCTGGGTGTGGCCTGAAGACAGCACAAGAAGTCATCAGGCTGTTCCCACTAAAGTAGACCCTCTTTCCATGACCACACTAGAAATGTTGGGATTTCTGGAAATATATACATTACCTACTTTATTATGTATACATCAAATAAAGTAAGGAAGAGGGCTTAGGATGTAGCCCAGTAGTTGAGCATTTGTGTGTCTGCCATGTGTGAGGAGGTGCTTGGTTCATTTCCAGAACCACAAAGAAAAGAAGGGGGAGGGGGAGGAAGGAAGGAAGGAAGGAAGGAAGGAAGGAAGGAAGGAAGGAAGG